TCTTCTTCTACCTTCGCCTCTTCAGCTCCAGTTGCACCCCTCGACTTCCTAGTTCCCTCGGGGTTCTAGCCCTGCCCCTTTTTTGTTAAACCTTAATTCGTTGCGTTGTTCAATAAATCGTTGTCGTTCGCGGCTTGTCACCTGGCAAGACCCTGGGAGAAACCAGGATACATTCACTACTCAGCAGCATTCAGAACGCGATATAGCCGCCTAGAATGCGCTCAGTAACCGACAACACTCTGTCACCGCAAGCTTGGATAAGAAGAGAATTTTTCGAAACGAGTGCTTGCATATCTCACGCTACACCATCCTCTGAAAAAGACGAACACACCTTGACTAGCCAAGCGAGGAAAAATATTAGAGTCAGAAAGTAGATGAACGCCAGGTGAGATGGCAAAGAATCCATGCAGTCATACAGCACGTAGACCCATCCTTCTTCGGACGCTGCCAAATACACTGTGAAGACACTGGCTCCTGAAGCAATCATTGAAACAAACTTCAAAAGCAAAAACAAATTTTCTCCTACAATCAAAAACATACCAAAGTCGTTGAACATTCCGTAGAACCCTTCGGCTTTAGCATTCAAATTCAGTCGCATGCACACCTGAAATGGTTCCAGAAATCAGTAAACGCTCTGTACTTACATATTTATATCCCATATGATTCCCTATAGCGACTATTTTTCGTCGGTTATTGTGGATAACTCCTTTTGCGTATTAATGTTCTTACACGATTTTTTGGACGTTTATTCTCGAGTATAAATTATAACAAGTTAGATACTCGCCATTTCGCCTGGACATTCATATCCTCCGCCTCCTGGCGGTGAGCACATCGTGTCCGGTATCGCCAAGTCCGCTATGGTGACATTGTTTGGATCAGTGTCTGTAAGAATAAGTAAGTCAAGGAAAAAACGAAGAAACTCGGCATGGAGTGTCACTGTTCTATTTTAGAGGTAATGCCGTTGTCATAACCTTTTCAAGAAAATAAAGGACGTTCCGGAGTCTGAGCACTCCTTTTCTTCACTATACTTCAAAGTGACTTCCTATTGCTAGAAGCCATAGTATAATTTTCCTGCACAATACGATGCATAGGACAAGAGC